AGTTGCAGATTTAAACGAATTGTTGCATTAACTGTTGTTCCTCACCGCGCTCCGCTCCTGTTCAATTCACTTAAGCTGATTGTCTTGTGGCAAAGAAATCTGAATTTGAACTGGAGCGCTCTGTGCAACAGTCGAAAATGGAAAGTCGTGAGATCATGTCAAACAAAAATGTCATCCCGTGGCGATATTAAACGCACCTCGTAATTCAAAATGCAAATGAATTGAAAAATAAGAAACTTAATAAACAATTAGTGTGTAGCACGTGAGCAAAAAACCGCAAACACTATTGTGCAATAATAAAATACCAATTGAAGCATAATTAAGTGACGGACATGTGGGACGAGGCGCCGACAGAGTTAATTATATTAAGCGCAGGAACAGACGATGGGTGAGTCCGCAAGTGAGTGTGGCAGTTGAATGCGTGATTGAGTGGCAACGAGTGCAAAAAGTGCAATAAATAAAACGAGTTTGTTAACGCGCACTTGACCACCATTTTATGACCCACATTGGCGCTGCTCAGGTCAGGCCTCACATAGCCATCAAAGGGCATAAGGTCGTGTGTAGTTTTAAAAGCCTTTCTTATAATTGTTAACATGGGCATGGTTTTAATAAAGTAAGCCCCCTGTTTAACAGAATCTATAGGAAGTTATTGAAGCTAATTAAATGGTTAAATAGTGTATCACAAAGTAATATCAATCCAGTTGATCTCAACTTCTTCTATCCTTATATTAAATATATCAAAACGAGCTGATAATTAAAACAGTTTTAGTTAGTGTAGGGTATCTACTGGCGCATTTACCTTAGCAGGAGTTACGAAATGAATCTTCTTAATGTAATGTTGATCTAACCTTATCTTGAATATATCAAAAGTCTATAGAAAAACACTTCTGTTAGTGTAGGGTATCTATCGGCCCATCTACCTTAGCAGCAGATATGGCAGGAATCTTCTGATTGTAAGGTAGATCTTACATTTTTCTTACCCTCTCTTAAATATTTCAAAACGATCCGATTAGAAGAACAGTTTGTTAATTACAGGGTATCTACTGTCGCATCCGCGTCAGCAGAAGTTATGGCAGGAATCTTGTTATTGTAAAGTACCCCTTTTAAAATTAGCATTGTCTACGTCAGCTTTATAATGCATTTTTCTTACTTTTAATGGTTCCATGCTGACCATGAGTATATGATAATTATTTAATTAGTTATTCCAGGGCAAAGCAAATACAACTACTGGAAAATTTTTGTTGCGAAAAAAAGGTAAACAAGGCATTAGAAAAATCGAACAGTTTAATTAGATATCCGATTTTTTCTGTAAATCGTTTGTTTATAATAAGGCGGTTAAACCCGTTTTGGATGTTTTGATTTATATGATTTTTGTGGAATTGTTGTTCTGTTCGAAAAGGGTTTCAACATTATAATTACGTTGATTAATGTGCGCTATTTGTTATTGAGCTATTATTTTAATTAATGTGTTGTCTGCCAAATTCGTATAATGCCAGCCCAAAGGTATGCCACATTTTATAACAACAGCCTGTTAACATAATAGCGCTTGGTCAAAGTGCACGGGAACATAATGTTAACAGCTCTGTTAAAGACTCGATTAAAAGGAACGCGGGGACATAATTTTTTCTATATAATCAAAAGGGTAGAGTAAGAGGAGGTTAAGCAAACAAAAACAAAATATATATAATTATTTGTAAGCATATTTATTTGTTGTTAGGTAGTATTAAATAATTTAAATGTGCAAACAGATGAGACTATCTGTTGTGCGAGCTAGCTTTAAAAGGGTGTGGCTAGAATGTCAAAAGTGGAAACAACAACTTCAAAAGAAACTTTAACCCTCCTTCACATTGGGAGTTGAATCACCTGAGCAAAAACGGGTCTGGGCACATGGCCTACTAAAGATCGAAAGATCAAATGGCATCTCATTGCCAAGCGAATCGGAAATCAGGCAAGCGACACATGAGAAATGACCTAGCAAAATATGATATATGAATTGAAAATATTGTATAAAACATATTGCCAAAATATGGCGTGAAGTGCAATAAGTTTTACATGAATTTCAATTACTCAAACCCAAATGGGCCCGTAAACGGGTTTACAAAGCAACAGTCAGCGCTGTATTTGACCTGGTCTTATGGGGCCGTAATTCACAGACGGCTGGCTTAGAAGCAATCCGCAATTCAAGGAGTTTGCACAGCGTTTACGTCGATGTCTTAACTTTTTTTTTTGTTTTTAATTGCTTTACGAAGGACAACATTTTAATAAAGTTTTGTTTTTTCCTCTTGTTTGCTGCGGGGGTTGCCGTGTCTGCGCTTGATATGCGAAATCTTTGAAAAGTTTTCGATGCGCATAACAAAGGCGTTGATATGGAAATAATTACCAGCAGACTTTTTATAATAAGTAACTCACGTAAGCACCACAATTCGATTCGATAAATCTTGTTCTTGAAAGAGAAATATAAATACATTGGAGCTGAACTATTTCTTGGCTCTTTCAAGAATTAACTTTTATTGGGCATAACATGGTAAGATTTTAACAAGCGGCTGTTAACTTAAATATGCCGTTAACTAATCACCCATTTAGGCTTTTTCTGCTTTGTTTTAGTGCTACACAAACTTGAACTTGCCTGTGTTATGGGGCTTGGTCATCTGCAATAGCTGAGCTATTTAAATGGGGCCCTACCCTGCTCTTCCCTTCCCTGCCCTTCCCCGCCTTGCATTGCGCACATTCAACTCGAATGAGTTTTATTTAAACTATATTTTTGGCTTGACCATAGCGACATCTTTTTTTAATGTGCAGTGTGACCTTTTCTGCAAAACTAAAGCAAAATAAAAAAAGAAACTAAACAATTATAATTATAAACAAAATACATTTAATTTTGATGCGTGTCTGTGGTTGTGCACAACTTGTTCAAATATGTAAATTCGTTTCACGAGTGCAATTAAGTCGTTCTTGTCAAGCAAATGCAACCTTCGCTGGCTTATTAGATTAAGGTCTTTGCAGTAAGTGCAGCAATATCCTTGTGCCGCATATACATATGTTATATCTACTTATGCTTGTGCAATCGTAACCTATAACGGGCCGGAGTCAGTGCCGAGTTCATATTTCAGTTCCGAGCTGGTTCACATTGACTCGAATGAACTTTCATAAACAAAGGAAACACTTCTTAACGCTTGATTTGACTTATATTTTCGAGTTATGTGTTTGTTGTTTCAGTTCTTCAAGTGCTTTGTTTTTCTTTACCTTATTCAATTGTCGGCAAGTGGCCAAAAGCCAGTTTCCGCTTTTATTGCTCATGCTATTTAATGTGCTGAGAGCTTAGACAAGCAGAGCCTCAGCTATGTAATAGAATAAAATAGAATAGAATGGAATACAATATTGGCTACCTCCAACGGCGCCAATATGCAAATCAGTCAAAGATCGTTAAGAGCTAATGTTTAACTGATTTCTATTGCATATTTTCAACCGATACATAAATATTCTTAAACAATTTGCAGCCTGTTAACTGTAATTAGTAAGCACAGCTCCTTAAGAATGTAATTTGTAGACGTAAATATAGGAAATCAATCATAGCTATTATAATAGCAGTGAATTGGTAATAAAAGTGTTTTATGGGCCGGCTTTTATAGTTTGGTCTAGTGTCAAGCGCCCCTTTGGATTTAAAAGCCTGCAAGTGCTTGATTATAATTTTATGATTATAGTTATTTATTGGTAGTTGATCATAAGCCAATCAAAGCTGTTTAAAAGTGCGTAATTGAGTTTACGGATTTGCGCAAGTTGTTAGTACCACGTGTTGAGGGTCTACTGTGGCTAACTGAGCGCGACCGAGCGTCTGATCGTTAGTATGAAGTCTACTTAGTTAACTATAAGTCAATAAAAAAATTGCGCTACTTGAGCTTGATAAATTTTCCAGTACAAAGCGAAGGCCTGTTGTTAAGTACTTAACGTAAAGAATTTTCGCAATATTTAAAAAAAATGCGGCGACGTAGTTTCCAAATTGTGGCAATTTCGGAAGTTTCGAGATAAAACAAAGCTTCTCTGACGTAGGCCCGAAGACCTAGCCTTGGGGAAAATTTGCCGCCTCAAGTTACCAGGTAAAAGTAAAAGGAATCATTTACATAAGTGCGTAATCTTCCATCTGTCGCTCCAAATATCCTTCAGAAAAACCCTTAACGATTATGAACTAAATTAAACAATGTAGGAAGCAATTGCGGCACTCAATGTACAACTCTCAAGTCAAGATCTGTTAACGGCCACTAAACTAGAACTATAAGCCAGACATTAAAACGCAAAGTGACTCAGCATATTAAATACAACGACAACAACAATAACAAAAAATCCCCTGGCAGTTCTGCACAAAACGAGTAAAGATCAACAAAAGGAAAACTCAACATAGCGTGTGATTAACGCAAATTCACCAGAGCGCAGCAGGCACTGAGAACGTAGCGCGTCGACGCCGACGTCAACTGAGCGCAGAGCAGGCTGTTCACGCAGGCGCAGAGTGAGCAGCGCCGAGCAAATTGCCAAATTTTTTAATGAAGAGTGCAGCGACGCTTTGTAACTAGCAGCGAGGATGGAGCCCACAGAGAGCCGCCTAGACCCACACACGTATATATTCAAGTGAGGCAAGCAGAGATATGCAGCTCAGCTGAGAACGTAGCGCAGCGACGCCGACGTCAGCTGTGGTGTAAATTGCCAAATTTTTGTATCAACAACTGCAGCGACGCGTCGCAGCGAGGATTGCGCCAGGTGATAGCCCCAAACACACACACACACACACACACACACGCACATGCATAAGCGCAGTTTGCCGAGTCAAGCAGAGATTTGCACACACACACAGACAGCTCAGCAGCAGCCGAGGCGGCCGTTTGCTCGGCTCAGCTGTGACGATACTTAGTCGGCGTCGCTGCCGCTGCCGACGCTGGCGCTAGCGCTGAGCTACGACGCCGACTTAAGTTTTGCGTTTTAAACAAAAACGTCTTGCGACGCCGTTCGTCCATTCATGCGAGTTTTTCATTTCGACGCGTCAACTTCAACTTTAAAACGACACACGACACATGCTCGGGAGCAGTGCGCGATCGCGTCTAGTACTTTTCAGTTTCGGTTTCGGTAACGGTTTCGAATTTGGTTTCGATTTCGGTTTCAGTTTTGTTGTGTGGTGTTTGCATTTGAATATTTGCCTGCAAAAGCAACTCGAAAATGCGGCATGTGGCATAAGGATATGCGAATTCTTCTAAAATTGGCAGCAAATAAGAAGAAATCTAAATTATATGACAATGCGGCTGATTTGACACCTTAAAGGGCAAAGTAAAAGCGAGCAAAAAAACAAAATTTCGGCCTCCAACTAATTGGCGAAAAACCCCTAATTTTGGATTACCAGCAGGGAAAGGGAATTTAAATTCAAAAGTAAGTGGAAATTTTAAAAAGAAAAAAAAAGAAAATATATCGGAGCGTATGCGTAATATGTGTGTTATGTCTTTAGATTTAAGAAAAGTGTAAGAAGTGAAAGAAAGAAAAGAATATATTAAACTTAGGCGTGAAACGTTTTTGTCCCTTAATTAATATGTCTATATACATAAGAACAAATATGTGAAAATTGTAATCAAAAACTATTTATATCCAAGATAAGTGTAAATAATTTATTATAAGTACCTATGTCAACTTATCGCGTGATCAGGCCTCTAAAGTTCGTTTAATCAGACTTATAAGATATCAAGCAAATCTGTCGAAAATCAAACAAATATATTATTATTGCCCTTTGCTTGTCATTTACATCGACCTCTAAGCGCGACTTTAGTAAAATAATTGAACATGGGTTGAAATTATTTCGAATTTAATATTGAATTTAAATAAAGGAAATATTTTACTGATCTTCAGATTCTGCACATTTTCCAGTTGAAATTTAAATCATTTTATTTTTGCCACATTTAAATTGTTAACATTTCTTTACGACTGCTGCAAAATGTTTTGCAAAATTGTTGCCATTATTATAATTTTGTTTTGCTACAGTCATGAGTCTTTTGCTATGTGTGGTTATTTCTTCGAGAGTCGCAGTTATATGCATATTTTTGGCATTTTGATCTGTCGATGGGTTATTGTGCAAATATGCAACCGCAAACACGTAGCATGTATCATGATGATGATGATGATGATGTTATTTCCCCCCTCTCGCTTGACCTACATTTTTGAAAGTGTTTTGCATATGTGCAAAGGTCGGGTCAATGTTAAGGTGAAATGAGTAATAGTAAAACAAGTGATGGGTGTCTGGAGTTTATTGGAGCTGGCTCTCTAATGTAAAGGCCCCCATTTGGGGCTTACATCTATATCACTCCATTAAGATCCCAGTTAAAGGTAACCATAAAATATGCCGTTCTTTTATGGCTAGCTTTTCGGACAACAGTTACAAAAGTGTTCAAAAATAGACAAGAAATTACAGAAAATATGTAAGTCAATGTCAAATTGGGCTTAAAAAATAATAGTTTTCAGTGTGTTGGCGTTCGGCAAATGAAATAAAAAAACGAGAAAAAAAAGTGTGAAAAATTATGTGTGTAAATAACGCAAAGAAATGCTAGTTTCGGCTGGGGTGTGTCGAAAGTACAAAAAACGCTTGAAGGTTGTTCCCCACATATGAAATGTTTGCGCGTCTCGTTTGTAGTTCAATGCACGAACTGGCATTGACATTGAAGAGCTGCAAAATGAAACGCAGAACATACAAATCTAAGACTTGGTTCAATTACGAAAACATGCAATTGAGAGTTGCCTAAAAGAGTTATTTTTAAACAAATTCGCACTCGGCTTGGCAACAATTGCAAGGTGCCTTAGCCCAAGCCCAGCTTAGAAAAATATGATCGATTACCTATAAATGTTACTACTTAAGTTTTGGCAATTAACTCAACTTATCCCATAACTGGGCTCATCAATCTTAACTCTTACCTAAAATAAAAATACCAATGCTCAGTTTCGCTTTCAGACACCGCAGACAGCAATTTCCATTTTGTGTGCGCTCTTTTGACCACTTAACTTTACAGCTAAGCCCGAAGAGCCAACAAATTATCCATCCAGCCAGGCAGACGCCCACCAATACACCAATTGGTCATGTCTGGGCACAGAAGTCGTCTTAATTAACCACAAACTGCAAAATAGTTAAGTGCAATAGACGTCACCAAAAAAGCAAAATATCCAAAGAGCAACAATAACAAGACAAAGTGTTTGCTTTCTTGTTGTTGTTGGGTCTTTTTTTGGCTTTTTCTAGCCGTTAAATTGATATATTGACATAAGCTAGTGATTCACGGCGCTGTTTTTGCGCATGTTGCCACATGTTGCTGTTGTTGTTGTTGTTGTTGTTGCCGTTGTTGTTGTTGTTGCCAGCGGCACATTTGCTAATAACCTGAATATACAACATGCTTATAGATACTTTTATATAATAAGCGGCACGCTTTTTAATTGCAAATTGATTTGCCTATTGATAAGCGCGCAATTTCGGCCAGCAGCCCATCAATCCCCCAGAGAGTTGGCGAGATGTAGAGAGGGGAGAGTGGGGAGACACGCAGACAGACAGCTGAACAACGGCAATCAAAAACGCTGTGACTTAGGTCAGGATTGAGTTAGGATTGGCTTTGTTGTTCTTTTTGTTGTTGCTGTTGCTGTTGTGGACACGCTTCGTTGGCGGCCTTCGTGGCGTCTGTCAGCCTCTTGAGCGGCAAGCCAACTATTCATAGGCCAACAAAAAAAAACACAAATATCATTTACATAGTCAAAAAAATATAAGAAACCCATATCAAAAGCAGCAACAATAAGGATTTGTTTTGCTTAGTAATGAGCGCGCTTTGAGCCAAGCGACGAGCCAAGCGACAAGCCAAGTTTAAGCATTAAAGCTAAAACTAAATTCTGCAGCGTAATTAGAGCATTTAGCGAAATGTGTTACAAGCGCTCCACTAAAAATGGCTCGTAAGCTAAGCCGCAAGCAGAGACAACGAGAGAGAGAGCGAAAGAGAGAGAGAGTGAGGGAGCGGGTGAGTGGAAGCGAGATAGCTTATAAGCGTATAAATTACAAAACGCAAGCAACTAACTAGACGCACAGGCAGCAAAACGCAAAAATCAGCAGCGCAGTTGCCGAAGCAGTTGCCGCGGTTGCCGCTGCTGTTGGTTATTGAAAAAATTGTTTGCCAATAATCCGCTGAAGCGGACACGCTTCAACGATTCGCCACGGCAGCCGAGACAACGAGAGAAGAGCGCGTGGCAATTGCCGGAGTTAGCAAGAATTGCCCAGTTAATATATAGGGTTAAAATCTACCTTAAATAACGAAGTTTACGAGTGGCTACTGAAAAGAGGCGAACATTTAAGTAGCCCAACAAATTAGCTGAACAAATGTTTAAGCAGGTGCTACAAATGCCTAAGCAATTGTTATGCTTGATTTGATGCGATCCAAAGAAGACGAAGAACTGAATTAAGATAAGTAGAAGAATGGAGATAAGTTTAGCTAAAGCAAGTATGCCAGTTTTTAAAAACGTTATAAATGGGTTTATTTAATAGAATATGTCCAGACTGCAGCTTCAATTGCGTAATCAAGAAATCTTAAGCACTCAGTCGTAACAAGCTGATCAATAATTATTTTGCTGATTACTGTAATAGATCTGGTCAAATCGGCTGATAAAGCCGAGCAGATATATAATTATTTTGTAATATAGACTCTATAGCTAAAATTAATATTCCAAACTCATGCAGCTTATATATCTAACAAGAAGCAGATTTAGCTTCTTCGTTGCAACCTTTCACTTGAGCCCAGCTGGATGTCAAGTTCGTTGCCTAAGTCTTTTGATTTATATATCGCACTTGCAAAAACAAATGTTTCAACTTGTTGTTTTTGGGCAGACGCAAAGAAATTGCACACACACCACGATACATCTCGATGTGGCTGTTAAAGTTCAGGCCCCTAATGAATAACCATGCAATGGGTAAGCTGCAATTATAGCTAAATACTTATGCTGGCTGGCTGTCTCTTCGGCTCCGTATCGAGCCCGTATAGCGGCAACTTCCGCAATGATTGGGGCGTTTCAATGTCAACGGAGCAAAGGATGAACGAACTTTTCAGGCATTGCGAACATTTCGAACATTTCCGAAACTTTTCCTATATGGGCGCCCATTCCGTTTCAATAATTGCATACAATTTGCCAATCAACGCGTCACAACGATGCCAATTACGATATGCTCACCGCTCCCCAACCGTGCCCGTGAGGTCCCAAGCCCGTGCCCACTTCCTCACACGGCTGATCATATTCCGGCCCTTTGTGGGCGCTTCCTTGGCATTGGTTTATGAAGCCATTCAAGTGCCAATGCAGTCGCTCTTCTCTATAATCAGCCAAAAACGCAGCACGATCCGCTGCAGTTGCAAAAAATTGAACAAAATTGAAATTTTATATACATTAAATAAGTTGGCTAAAAAATTAAGCAAAAATTTATTAAAAATGCATAAAAAGGAGGTGACGAGCGTCAAAAAACCAAAAAAAAAATATGCATGAAAAAAATAAGTAAAAGCGACAACAACAACAACAAGAAAACTGGATGTGGAACAGCTGTCACAAGAGAAAGATAAATGGCGCGCGACCTTCGCACTGCAGCAGCCTCCGTTGGATGCTGCGTGAAATTTATACAAAAAAAAAACGAATAAAAAGCAACAACAACAGTCCAAAATAAACAAGTGCAAGACGACAAACAACAACTACAAAAACAACAATGGCACTCGAATGAGCGGCTACTGTAAGCCAAGTGGCAGCCGCAGCAACAATAACAATAAAAACCACAAATGAAATGTGAGAAAAGCAACGAATTTGTCATACACTAAAGAAATGCCTTTCAACAATCGAATAATATAAAGGGTTTATTTTTTTTGGTAGTCCGTGCCTAATATATAGACTTATGTTCATCAGAACTATAAGACATGTTAAAAGAAATGCAAGGGATTTTAAAATATGGCAACTATTGACCTCTAGTGCAATATATATTTAAACATAAATGTGGGGAAATAAAGTTTAATTAATAAGTTCTTACGGATTTAAATCCTAACAAATTTGGCATGTTTAAAGTCAAGCTTATCAAGAAAAGGAAAGTATAATAGAAGTTTACATTAATTTTAAGTGCAAAAACAGGTTGCTGGTTCGATTCACGGTTCGAACCGTGAACTGCCTGCCTTAAGTTTCAGTTCGTGAAGTTGTCTTTTCCCAACCTTCAAGGCCAACCTACCAGCTTAAACCTCGTTTTGTTCTAGATCATTTCTTAAATTTTAATAAAAAAATTCTATTGTTAATTGCCCGATGTGCTGAAAATATTGCAAGCTCTACATATTTTCATAAACAAGATGCGGGCTACATTTTTTCTTCACCCAAAATTGTCATCTACCAAATGTGGTTAGATAAAGGCAATGATTGGGGCCAAAGTTATGCATACTTTGGTGTTAGGTCTTTCTCAAAATATGTTTATTTTAAAAGAAACTATTTAAAAAACAAAACAAATATTTTGCTATGGCTTTCGGTTGACTTTTGCATGGAAAACTGGTTTCGTTAAAGGTTCGGTTCATTGAACAAAGTAAATTTGAATTCCGGACTCAACTGGTTCGGTTAAAAAAACAGGTTTCCAGCCTTGTTAAAGGACTACAAAGCCAACTTGACTGACTTTAGCTCATATGCTCGACACAAGGCTAAAACCAGGCGCAGCTCTTGACTCATGCTTTGAAATGCACACAAAGCGATTGCATTAGCAGCAACAACAACAACAACAAAGGCAGCAGGTGCAAGCAGGTAAGAAGATTTTTGGCAAATGCCAAGCAGGCACAATGGCTCAGTGGCGCAGTGGCTCAGTGTGGCTTAGTGGCTTGGTGGTTTAGTGGCCTGTTGGCCAACCAACCTACTTACTTCTGGCTGGAATGGCCCGTTTGGTGTGTCTGGTTAGCTGGTTGGGCTGCTGCTGCTGCTGTTGCTGTTGTTGCTGTTGGTGCAATCGAAAGTGTTACTGTTACCAATGAGCTGACCAAAAGCGAGAGACTCAATAACGTCATCAGCTGTTGGCAATGCTAGAAAGCACCGAGCACTCGGGTCTGGGAACTGTGGACTGGAGCTGGAGTCGGAGCTGTGGCAACATTGCAACATGGCAACATGGATCGGTTGCCATATGTGCCTGACTGGTTATAAAACAGTATTTGGGTCAATAGATTTTGTATTTATGCAATTTTGCAATATTTCTTTTCAAGTTGTTGTAATTTCTTTATTTACGCAAATGTTTGAGCTATTTTTTAATCATTTCTAGACAGTTGGCGCGACTGACTGAAATATTTTCTTTTGATTTTATTTTTGGCCTGGCTCCTCAAGAAACGAAAGATGAAAAAAATAAAGAAAATGGCAAAGCGCGCGCCACTTGCATTTCATTACATAATATGCCAAAGAAGCAAAGCGAACAAAAGTGAACACCCCGGCTCGTGTTCAAAAAGAAGTCGAGGCGGCCGAGACGACCAGGTGACCAAGTCGTAGCCGGCCAATATGCCGGAGTCAATGTGTGAAAATAAGCAGAAAATTGTTAAAACGTGTTTCAGTTACAATTTGTAGCCCCAAAGCGCGGGGGGGGCGGGGCGTGCCGAGCGACCGAAATTGTCGTGGGGACTTCTTAATGGATTGGCTTTAGCGGCGCTTATGAGCCGTAAATTGCGGGAAAGCGTTTCTGTTTTAATGTTTGGTTAATTGGGGTGCACGAGAAGTGGAAACGTTGACATTAAATGCACCTCACAAAAACCTCTCAAAGTCCAATTCAACTTGAATCGACAGCTCCGACGGCTCGGCGGGCCCAAGGCAAATGTACACTTTTGGGCTTAGTTTATGAGCCATGAGAATGGGGTCTATAGACTGTCTATAACTGTATCTGGTGCTTCATAAGTCAAGCTATAATACACAAGACAAGCTACTCAAACTCAGTTAAGTCAAATGCAAATTATTTTCGATACTTGGCTCAGTCCAATGAGGGTGCTTGGCTGTCTTCGGCAAGTGCTTTTTTTGCCCAGTTTTTCTGTTTGAATAAAAAATTGTGTTTGTCATTCGCATTTACTAAATTGTTAAGTTGGTGTGGGAAATAACCGATATTTGATTTTAAATATCCTTAGATATACCGTAAATTAAACCAATGAAAAAGTGGTTCTGTCTGTTTTCCCAAATTCCTTAGCGTTCACTGCTGCCGATTCCTGTCCTTATGTATCCTTGGAATGCGTCTCGCATATTTCCTCATTGCGCAAATGTTGGCAAATTAAAACTGGCCTTAATTATTTTATGCTCATTAAGCGCAGCCTGAAGACCAAAAAACTAAAACTTTGCACAGCTCTGGTTTTTTTTCTGTGTGTTTCTTTAGCCCAGCTTGCCGCAAATTAAGTCAGATGCCGGAGCAGAGACAGGGCTTTTGAACTTGGCCCAAAGCAGTTGACAATATTTCGTCTGCAGGCGGCAATTAAAACGGCGCAAAGAAAAAAAAAAGAGACTACAACTAAATGTCATTAATTGTGTTTAAATAATTTTCGTACAGCTTTTGTTTTTTACACAACATTTTGCTCATAACTTAAAAATCGCTCAATTGTAGCAGAGCTGCCGAAAAAAAGAAGAGAAAAAAGCAAAAAGCTTAAAAATAGTAAACTTTTCATTTAGTTATGGGCTGTTATGTCAGACAAACGATTCACTTGGCATGCCTTGAGATGAGCTGCAGATCGTTTAGGCTGACACTCGTGGCTGCTGCATGGCACATAAGTTATGAAAGTTTTAGTATTTGTTTTTAAATATATTTTTCGCTTAGCTGGCAAGTTCGTTGCCAGAGTCTTTTGTTTTTGCTTGTCATGGCAGCGCATTAGGTCGTGCGAATGCTCATGCAGTCAAACGGATTTCAATTAACGATTCGCCCGATCTTCAAACTGCTAAGGAATCGCTGACTGGAAATTGCATTTTCCATTTCCCAGCGTTCTGCTGCGACTTGGCTTAATTTGCATAAATTATCGTGCATGCAAAAACAAAAGTATAATAAAAATATTTTATCTGCCAGCCGGCACGAGCTCAGCACGTAGCGAGTGACAACTGTTTTATTAATTTTATATTGTATTCCCTGTAGTTAAAGAAGAGGGTAAGCTGGTTTTTAATATAAGAGCTGAGAGCATGTCCAAGAAAGTATAGACAGATAAAGCCTGCTTATCTGTTTGCCTTTAGCAAAGTTTTAACTACTAGCTCTTCACTTAATAGGGTATCTGCTAGTTCGGTCCTCTTTGCTTATCATTTCAACGTCTTTATGCTCATGTCCAATGATCATTTATCAACATTAACCATTCAGTATACCATTTAAATGTGTTGTTGTTTTTGTTTTATTTATAGCGCGATTTGCTGGGGTTTCTGTAATACCGGACATTCTTAATAAGTTCCATGTTAGTTCCCTGTTAGACGTATGACTTAATTAAACTAAGAGCCTCGTGGGGCATCAACGAGCTTTTATTGAACCCTGCTCCTATAAAGTCCCCCAAACTGTAATTAAATGTGTTGCGTAGTGGGAAGCCTTAGACACTGACCCCATAAAACGGAGATTAGACTAATTAAATTTATATTGCAAGTCATAAATATGTTGTTGACTTCAAAGCTAACCAACACGCTTATTCTCTAAACTCAAATACTGTTTCTATTTATCTCATTTGACAGACTTGAATTATGGGCTTAGAGAAACATTATTTGAGATATGGACGCACGGCTAGAGATCACCTGCTCCACTGGGCCAGCTGTGGGCGTGGTTGTCGACAACAGCAACAGCAACAACAACTGCCGCAGCAGCAGCAGCAGCCGCAGCCGCAACAACAGCAACAACCGCAAGGGTCAACTGCCACTGGGCGGCGGTCACGCCCACATGTAACACACAGAGGAACGCCGCTGTCCATGTTAATATCTCATGGCATTAAGATAAGCAATAGTAAGTATACACAACTTTATATGCAAGTCATCGGCTACAGTAGCTATACTTAAATATTAACTAATAATTATAAGCGGAAGTGGAAACAAAACGAGAACTCAGCAACATGAAAAATATATATATAAAAAGAGTTTTCCAATTTGTCAAAATATTTGTACATAAGGCACAAATAGGGCATAAATATTTTTGACTTGTATTTAAAACCAGAGCAAACTCATTTGATATTTACTTTATAATTTTTCAATAATTGCATTTATAAAAAGCTCTTTTTTGTTTTTTGTTTTTTTTTTTTTAATTTTTCAATAATTGCAGCTCTTTTATGTTATATTTGCAAATATTTGAAAAAATGATTTACACTCAATTAAAATTAATTAATAAATTTATCATTTAATGTGCAATTAGCCAGCCTAAAGTCAACATCAACAACCAAATTGGTTAGATTTTGTAATTGTTGTTGTTGGCGTTTGTTGTTTACTTGACCAAAAATAAAAGCCAAACAAGTTGTGCGCCACTTTAAACTTGCAACAAAAAAAGTGCTTCGTGGGGCTAAAAAGCAACAACAAATATAACATATATATAAAATTGAAGAAAAAAATCAACAACAAAAGCGCAATTGCTGCTGTAAATACCGCAAAAGTTTTTACAAAACTGGTCATCCAAGAACTGCAACTGCCATGCAAAACGAGTCTTTGGCCAAAAATACCGACAAATAACAAACAACAACAACAACAACAAGGCAATCAACTAATGCAGACTTGTAAACAACAACAACAACAATTAAAACTCAGCAGCAGTGAGATTGAAATCAAGGAAACGGACACACAGACAGTCGCACGAGACTTGCCTAGTTAGCCGCGTTCTGTGCAGTTGGCGACATTGCGTATACGCCGAGTGAGCCGCGCTCATGGAGCTCGAAGCAGCCAAGTGTGCAAACAACAACCATGGCCAAGAACATTGACTGACTCTCTTACACTCTTACTCTCCCGCTCTCACTCGCTCTCTGTGTCTGCTCTCTGAACTTGGCTTGGCCGTATCGCCAAACACTCGTATCGCTTTCGGTTTCGATGGCTTTGGTTTCGCTTTTGATTGCCTTCATTTTGGGCAACTTCTCGCTGCCATTTTACGTTTTGGCTAGAAAAATTTTTTAAGTGTTTTGCACTTGACAGCGCTGTTCGGTTGCTTCATAGCCACGTTTGCAATGTGACAAGTGGCGATATCTTGTTATTGGCTCTGCCAATTTTAAGTGACAGCCAGATGTGACCAATTGTTATGGGGCTGGGCATTTTAAAGACTTCTCTATTACGTGCGATCTGATAAAGGCTCTCTATGATTTACTTTATTATTGGCTTGTTAAATATGCGATAGAATTTATGTTATTATCTCATTTTTATAGTCGTCTTGGCAGTGGGATGCTCTTCACAACGTTTGCCAACTAAGCTGTGCGAGAGTTTACTGCGCATTTGATGCGGGGTTTAATCATTCGAAGGTTTCGTTTAATATTGTCCAAGTGTTGAGCAAAGCGGAACTGAGCTAGCAAGTTCGAAATTTATAAGCTAATCTTAATGCCAAGCGAGTATCACTAGAATAAAATCAAGTATTGCAAGCGTAACGAAAACAAATAAGAAAAGAAAGGGCTAATGAATATGGGTGACAGATAGAGACTCTCATCTTTCTCTCGCTCTCTCTCCGACTTAATCTCTCTATCTCTCTCTCTTTGAATCTGACAGTCTCTCTAACTAGCGCCTTCCTATGCGATTTTCATGAATTCAAGTAATAGTTACAGAACTAAGTGTGTGCTTGAATGAATCGGAATAAGAGATAAAGAGTGATATAATGTGTCATAAGCATGTAAGTGTTGATAGATACCTAGAAAGCTGCCTTAGTTAAATGTATCTGATAAGACAAGAGCCACCAGTAGCAATGACAGCAACACTTTCAATTGATTTTGTGCCACACTGCTTAGGCAATTCTAATACCATGCTAAACAGGCTGACAAGTAAACAGAAAAAGCCATACAAAACATAAAACAGAAGTGAAGCAAAGGCGAAATAAAAATTCGCAATTGAAAAGTCGAAGCGGGTACTTAACTGGCCAGTGCAATGTTGTCTACTGCAGCAACAACAACAACAACAACAACGACAACAACCACTATTAACTGCCAAATACTACAACTAACAAATACAAGCACACACTCGAGTCTCGTACACACAAAGCAAATATGAAAATGTTGCCAAATCAATATACAAGACCTCAAGAGCCCCAGCCCGCGTCGGAGCCGTAGCCCGAGCCTGAGCCAGAGATGTGAAATACTAAAAACCGAAATCTGTAGCTGCGAGTGAAACCGAAATCTGAGTTGAAGACGGCGAAGTCGACGGCGACGGCGACTGTCGAATGAGTGGAGCGGAGTGGCTAACTCTGGACATGGACTCGAGCATGGGACGCGGCGACTGCGGACTAAACGAGCGCTCGACGGCATCAAGAGAGTGAACACAAATTAACACAATTAAGCAGCCAAGTTAGCAATCACAGCAGCCGCCTCGGTTTTGGCCAATTCTAAGTTCGACTCAAAGAGATGCCCGGGGGCAGGGATGGCGCGAGGGCGTGGTATTTGCCATATAGTTTGTGTGCACCGCACAAACAGAAACAGGCGCGGTTGTCGCCCCAGCCACTTCGACTGCCACTTCGACTGTCATTGCGACTGCCACTGCGACTGCCACTGTGACTGCTGCTGCCACTGCAGTTGCTGATGCTGCTGCAAAGGCAACATCCACACAGTTGGCAAGAAGAAGTCTCAGCCGGTTGACTGGACTGGCCAATGCTCACATGGAGTCTTTAGCAATAACAAGTCGCACTCAAAGCTTGGCAGTGTGCGTGAGTTTCTGTCTTAAGATTATATAACCAAATGTGCAGTTGATTCAGTTGATTTAGGCCACATGCAATAGATCGTGCCTAGCTCACGAGGCATTCTCTTGTTCAGGTTTTGGAAGCTGAGTCTTTGCTGAATCTTTGGCATGCACATTCCAAGAGCTACGTTTTGGCAGCCACATTAAAAGATTCTCTTGGCGAGTGTAAAACAATATGTATGTGACAAACATGTTTTGATTTCAAGATTCTCTTGGAGTGAGACACAATTAACATGCAGTGCCATCTGTAGTTTAGCTGTTCCACAATGAGAATATGTTTATTGCATTAACACTTAATGAATTTATCGATTATCTGATCGATAACAGCTGAAATGCTTTTGCTCTTTTCACTTACGGTCCTTTAAACAAAGCTACATACGTTAATTGTTGCTCTGTTTCTCCTTTCTCAATGTCAAGTTCAGTTGTTCTTTTATGAATATTTGCAAATTGCCTGTCTTAATGTTTCTTTTATGCGTTTCTCCCACCACAAGTACGGAGACCTTTCACTTTCGACAACTTGCCCTCGTAATTTTACAGCTTTTCAGTTTCGTTAACATGTTTCTGTTTTGTGGTACACCTCCAAAAAAAAAAAAAAATAAAAGAAAAAAAAAACCAACAACAACAAAAAGAAACTTTCCAGGGAACATAGTCGACCGTTTTTTATTAACCCGCTTCGAGATCGGATGTAAGTGCTTTAATTAAGGGCCGATGTGCGATAACTTAAGAGCAAAATTGCCAAGAAGGCACGTCCAGGCCCCAAAAGGAAGAGCCCAACAACCGGTTCGGAACACATGTATGCCAGCTAATTGGTATCGTATCTGTATCGGTATCGGTAGATCGGAATATGGATGAATATGGATGCAAATTGTAAGGCGTATGCGGCACAAGGAAGTGCGCCCGCCGGAATTCCAAGCCTTGGCCAGTTTCTACAGTTCCTACACAAGAATTGCAATAACTTGCTTAAACAAAAGTGTTTACAATGTTAAACAATGCGACTGAAAGACAGTCGCCGCCACTTGACAGTCAGGTCGTGCCTCAGTTGGGGCACGTTCTGAAACGAAATCTGAGCTTAATTGTTTAGCTGCAGGCGTTGCAAATGTGCAGTTATTGTTGCCGCTTTGTTGTAGACAACAATTCCGCGTCTATTGAAAAGTTGTCCATTTAAGAAATGTGACTAAAGATTTGCGGCCAGCTGCAAGTTACAGCCAGTTATTGTAAGCGCTAATTTTAACAGTCGCTTGTGAAATGAATGTGACCACAAAAAAAAAGTACCCAAATTAACCTAATAGGGCATCAGAGAACTATCTGAGAGACAAGTTAACTGGAAATGGGCTTAACTAATTGCCATTTGGGCAGCCCCTCCAAAGTGGCTGCAAAGTTCACAACATAATTGCGACAGTTCAGCAGCGGATGGAAACTAGATACTAGAGTTCAGTACATTGCATGCTCAGCGGTAATTTTGTACAAAACGAACGTATGACACCAGCATTAAGTGTCTGAGTCAGGGGCTTAACCCGAGGGGGGACTCAATGTGATAAAGCAAAGTAAGACAAGTTATTATAGTTGGGAGAGCAGAGAAAAGTCGGAGTCCCACAAAAGATAGTTGAAGAACTACTTTACAGCTGACCCCCCTTGTCGACGCCACTGTATCTGATTTAACTAAAAATTGTTGCGCATATTTATAAAAAAGCGCGGCTTACTCCATACCGAATATTAAATATTCTAACCAAACTTCTATTAGATAAAAATTTCTTTTAACAATTTCGATTTAAATTTAGTCAATTTTACTAATCAATAAATTATATAAGTATATCATATAGTACAGCAGCTATCGATATTCAACAAGCTACTTTCTAAGTCAGCTCTCAATAACTTAAACAAATCTTTGAAAGGATTTATGAACCGAATCAGTTAAGCATTATCGTCGGTTCAAGCTAAATCCCTGTCTTGAGGCTCGGCTCGAGAGATAATTTAACTCAAGAAGAGAAAGTGTTAAAGATCTTGAAAGACAGAAGCATGGCCAAGTGCAGGAGAATTTGTATTTATAGTTTACAAAGGAATTTAGAAGTTGCAAAGAAGTTTAAATATAAGAATGTATCTTATTGATAAGAATAGAGTTTTGAACATGCTCTCATAAAAACATTTGTATTTAGGAGATGCTCTCTCGACAGTGCGTTACTTGTTGCATGTAATAATTGATATACATTCTGGTAGGGTACTAAAAGACGACTTGCAGCACAAATAGAAATATTAACAACAACCAAGCAACAGCTTCAATACGTGCATTAACAACAGCAACAACTGAGAATTCAGCATTATTGTCAACGGCAGCAGGCGCTGACGTATCAATTGTGTGCCAAATGTTTATTGACCATGTCGACCAGCCCATGCAAGCGTTGTCAGTTGCACCAACAACAACAACAACAACAACAAATACGGCTAATATACATATAGATGTATAATTATTGATATCAACTAATAACGCAACGCAACCAGATGAAGCCAATCGCCAAGAAACCGAAAAGCCGATAAATGTAAACCGGCATTAAATGCCGCGATCAGATTGTGCCGCTGACGAGAGACGGGTATACTCCCTTGACCTTCGGCTTGACAGATGCCCTAAAAAAAAAAGGTGTATAAATGTATGAGCCAGTAGCAGCAGCAGCAGCAGCGACAACAACGTTGCCAAAATGTCAACATTTCGTGCTCGATTTTATGACATTTTACGTAACTTTCTCTGCGTAAATTTTGCTGTTGATTTCTCAGCCGCCGGAACAGAGCGCGGGCGCCACCGATATTCAGGGTCAATGGAACGCTTGAACCTTGTCGCAGAATAATAATAAAATTATCGCGCCCATAGCTCATCTCAGGCTGCAAGATTTACGATCCATGCCAGAATGAAAAATTTCGCGAGCGTTATCGAAAAGCTGATTCTACTGACCCGAAAATATGCACCCTATATATGCATATATATATGTATATACATATAAGTAGTATGTATGTCTGCGCTTATTAAAATATATTTTATGTTTAAATGCTGGGCCTTGCACTTTTGATATTCATTTTTGTTTTTGCTTTTGTTTCTTGGGGCTGGCAGTGCAGCGCGTGTGGCCTGGTCTGAAGTGCAATCAGTTCGTTGACTGTTTTAGGGGGGCGCGGACGCCGAGCGAGACCCGTTGGCATTGTACATTGTGTGCCACCGCCCACCAAACACCACTTGGCCACGCCCACTGTGTAACAAAATGCCAACAAGGTAATGGCAGATGGGTTAATCGAGTCCCCTAAGTGCACAGCCCCATTAATATAACAATTTGCAATCGGAAATTTGCGATCGCAAAATGCGTCTCACTCAACTGATAAGCAAAATATCATCATAAATTGTTTGCGCACGTCACAAAATGTTCAATTTCAATAAGTCGGCCAAGAGCAAGATCTAAAAAACATATATATTGAGTGACAGCCGTGAAATATCACAAAACCCAACCGAAGTGCGGCAACAATTTTATGTTCCTATTTAACGCGAAATTGCATTCATTCAAGGAAAAGAGGTGTGAAAGTCCAGGAAACTGGGTTGGGTGTCAGAGTTGAGAGAGCAGAAAAAACAAACAAATCGCGTATACAAATTTTATATCATATAATAAAACAATTTAAAAAGTTGCAGTTAGCTTTAACCGACAGCCTTAATACTCTGTTCAGCGTGTTACCAAAGTTTTAAGCAGTCGAAAAAGTCTCCAGATCATTGGCTTTGTGACTTTAAGACTGTGACCGCAAAGTAATGGCTTTCAAACTGTTATGTTTTTAGTAAAAATTAAATATATTTAATGTATATATGACAACACTTTTAGCTCGATCTTTTGAGAAGGTTATGAGTAGTTAAGAGTACCTGTCAAATTTGGAGTTCTGACTCCAAACATTTTCGCAATTTACGCAGCAAATCTAGAACTTTGTCTGGCTCGGATAAATAAGAAGCAGGCAGCAGGATATACCCTTTTTAGTATTACGAACAGAATATTGTAAATTACAAAACTCGTGCAATCCTTGGCATTTCGTTCATTTCCAGTTGTGATTAGCTGATTATCTGAGATTTCCACAACGGAAGCATGACGCAGTTTCCCACAGAATGTTTTCTGTCTACGCCCATTTACAACATATAACACCAATTCATTTGCTTAACAAGCTGGTTAACTTTTGCTGGCCAAATATTTATTTGACATTTTTGCGTGTAAAGGTCAACAACACGAGCTGCAGTTAAAAATAAACAAAAACCAAATATGCTGACTAATCGCAAAATTGTTACCAACTGCATTTAACGATTTTAAATTTACTTTCAGATAGACTAGCTGTGATAATTATTGGTATAGTTACATTAATCTTAGGCATAGTTTTAACATCCATACCATGGCTGGATTATTTTATACTAAAGGTAAGTTTGCGTCATCTCAATGTGAGAGCTCACCTTTATCTAATATTATGACTCTTCGTATATTCGCAGAATTTAAGGCTGTGGAATGATACATTAAGCTATCATTATTGGCAAAGACCTGGCGTTATACGCCTAACCAGGGTCTATATCTATAATGTAACCAATCCGGATGGATTTCTCAGCGGCGAGAAGCCTAAGCTGCAGGAAGTGGGTCCGTTTGTCTACAGGTGAGCACAAGCTTCAAAAGTAATTAATAATTATTATAAAATAGTATTTAATAGGGGGGAAAGTGGTTACGCCTTTTGATTCTAGAATTTCGAAATTTATTTTATAAGTAATACGAGTATTTTTATGGCAGCTTTAGCAAAGTGCTCTTTCGTCATGGCTCGTTGGGAAATATGTGTTTAAAATCGACGTTAATGGGTGTAATTACCATAATTGTGTGCTTCTTATGCATAGAACTTAAACTGTCCGTTCGCGCTGCAAATAGAAAGCGTTTTTTAATTGTGCTTAAATATTAAACAGCGAAAATCAAGTCCAAATTACACAAACGGTTATCTGTGCTTTTAATAGATACTACTTGAACTTTGCGGTCAGCACGCTAAATGAGAAATAGATGCGATCGTTACATATATTCATATTCTAAAATCCCAATTGGACATTTTAATTGAAATTTCAGATATACAGATAATTATGATTGATTAGCTCACATAAATCTAATGCATATTTGGCTTAAATCGAATTCACAACAATGCTAAATAAATTGCATCAATTTGAATCTTTTCCATTTTATCACTTAATAAAACAAGCAATTATTTCGAGCATAAGATAACTTGCAACAGCTTCGGTTGCAACTGCAGCAGCTTCACGAGATTTGCCAATAAACTGCTGACAATTCACGCCTAAACGTCGAGTCACTGAGCCGCTGCCAGGCAGCAACCGCAGCCGCTGCTGTTGCCATTAATTGAGCCATCAAATCAAGAAAATAACAAAGCACCGCAGATCACAAACGGGAGCGGGCTTAAATAATATGTGTATCCGAGAATGTGAAGTTTGACAAGTTGCGGGACCGCCCAGAGTTTAAACCAGTTCGAATGAAGGATAACGGGCCAAGAGCAGGCGATCGGTGATTAATATCACCAGATACAGATACAGATACAGATACAGATACAGATACAGATACAGATACAGATACAGATACAGATACAGATACAGATACAGATACAGATACAGATACAGATACAGATACAGATACAGATACAGATACAGATACAGATACAGATACAGATACAGATACAGATACAGATACAGATACAGATACAGATACAGATACAGATACAGATACAGATACAGATACAGATACAGATACAGATACAGATACAGATACAGATACAGATACAGATACAGATACAGATACAGATACAGATACAGATACAGATACAGATACAGATACAGATACAGATACAGATACAGATACAGATACAGATACAGATACAGATACAGATACAGATACAGATACAGATACAGATACAGATACAGATACAGATACAGATACAGATACAGATACAGATACAGATACAGATACAGATACAGATACAGATACAGATACAGATACAGATACAGATACAGATACAGATACAGATACAGATACAGATACAGATACAGATACAGATACAGATACAGATACAGATACAGATACAGATACAGATACAGATACAGATACAGATACAGATACAGATACAGATACAATACAGATACAGATACAGATACAGATACAGATACAGATACAGATACAGATACAGATACAGATACAGATACAGATACAGATACAGATACAGATACAGATACAGATACAGATACAGATACAGATACAGATACAGATACAGATACAGATACAGATACAGATACAGATACAGATACAGATACAGATACAGATACAGATACAGATACAGATACAGATACAGATACAGATACAGATACAGATACAGATACAGATACAGATACAGATACAGATACAGATACAGATACAGATACAGATACAGATACAGATACAGATACAGATACAGATACAGATACAGATACAGATACAGATACAGATACAGATACAGATACAGATACAGATACAGATACAGATACAGATACAGATACAGATACAGATACAGATACAGATACAGATACAGATACAGATACAGATACAGATACAGATACAGATACAGATACAGATACAGATACAGATACAGATACAGATACAGATACAGATACAGATACAGATACAGATACAGATACAGATACAGATACAGATACAGATACAGATACAGATACAGATACAGATACAGATACAGATACAGATACAGATACAGATACAGATACAGATACAGATACAGATACAGATACAGATACAGATACAGATACAGATACAGATACAGATACAGATACAGATACAGATACAGATACAGATACAGATACAGATACAGATACAGATACAGATACAGATACAGATACAGATACAGATACAGATACAGATACAGATACAGATACAGATACAGATACAGATACAGATACAGATACAGATACAGATACAGATACAGATACAGATACAGATACAGATACAGATTCATTTACAGATAAAGATAAAGATACAGTTACATACTGCTTGAATTTAAATGCAATTAGGGTGAATCTACAATTTCATGACGATTTGATGGATTACTTAAAGACAACAACAACAACAATAACAAATCATTTTGCTGTCATGAAATGACTACGTCAAACGGTAGCTGCTTAAAACGCCACTAAAACGCCACAAAAACGCCAAAGCGTTTGTCATCTTATTTTGTTGTTTCGTTTCGTTTCTTCGTTTTTTTTTTTATATTTTTTTTGTCCACATTTCTCCGAGTGCGACAAATGAACTTGACATTCAGTTGGGTTGGGCTGTTCGCTTTGTGGATCTCTTTTTGTTTTAACGAGCACCGTCCCTGACTTTGGGCTTTGACTGGCGGCCAACCGAGTTTGACACGTGCCGTTGATATGAGCTACGATTACGAAAATGTAACAAAACTGAACTTTTATTGATTGTTGATATTGTTGCCTTTGCAGGGAAGACATGGAGAAGGTGAATGTGAAATTCCATGATAACAATTACACGGTGTCATATCAGCATAAGAAAATATTACAATTTGTTCCTGAACTGAGTATTGATAAGAATACGCCCATAGTCACGCCCAACATACCAATGCTGGTAAGTAGACAATTGCCTGATTTATTTATCAGATTATATGATATTTAAATATCGAATGATATAAGTCTACCTACACTATCCTACATGCTGTAAATAACCAAATATAATTTCTTTCCTCTAGACCCTCACAAGTCTGAGTCCCAAGCTGGGCTATCTGCTGTCCAAGACGATATCCTTTGTGCTAACTGCGGCCAAGCTGAAGCCCTTCATCAATGTGACTGCGGATCAGCTGGTCTTTGGGTATGACGACGCGCTGGTCAGTCTGGCGCACAGATTCTATCCAAAGCACATGCGGCCCATGGAAAGGATGGGCTTGCTGCTCGGACGCAACGGCACACTGACTGAGGTATCCAACATTAAGACGGGCTACCAGGGCATGGAGCAGTTTGGCTATATTGATTCGCTCAATGGCATGAATCACCTGCCGCACTGGAACGAGGAGCCCTGCACGAGCATAGCCGGCTCGGAGGGCTCATTCTTTCCGCCGCGCGACATTACCAAGTCGGATGTGGTGCACATCTACGACAAGGATCTGTGCCGCATAATACCGCTCAAGTATGTGGAGCGTGTCGAGAAGGACGGCCTGGCCGCAGATCTCTATCGATTGCCCAACAATTCGTACGGCGACGCAGCGAACAATCCGGACAACAAATGCTACGATGTCAACGACTACGATGCCGTTAGGGGCCTGCAGAACATCAGCCCATGTCAGTATGGCGCACCTGTGTATATATCCAATCCACATTTCTATGATGCGGACCCGGAGCTGCTCGACGCGGTCGAAGGTCTAGAGCCGCAGCGCGACAAACACGAAACCTACTTCAAAATACAACCGGTAAGATTTCTCCCTGCCCCGAGTCGAGATCTAAGCTGATTCTAATGGTCGTTTAGAAACTTGGAGTGCCGCTGGAGGGCAAGGTGCGCATACAGCTGAATCTGAAGGTGACGCGGGCCAAGGACGTGCATCCAGTGCGTGATTTTCGTGATTTCGTATTTCCGGTCATGTGGCTCGAAGAGGTGGGTTAATTGCTCCGCCCAGCCATGAATGAGATAACATCTGTGTAAACCCATTTTACAGGGCATCTCGGAACTGACGCCCGCCATCCGGGGCTGGCTGTATCTGGCCACTGTCATTGCGCCGCACGCTGTGCCCATTGGCTCCTATCTGATGATCATGGGCGGCGCCTCGGCTGTCATTTTCAGCTTTGTGCGTGCCTATCAGAACTTTGTGTTCGCACGCGATCCCTCGCTGGAGATACTCGAGATGGGCAGACGTTCGCTGCGGCGCGGCAGCAGCTTCATTGCCCACCAGCAGCACAAGCTGCTGCAGCATCATCGGGACAGCTATGTGCTGCTGCGCACCCACATGCCACATGCCATGAGCGCCTGCCTCGATCCCGAGCGCGACAGGGACGATGTGCAGCCGATAATTGACAACAGTGTGGCAAGCAATCAGGATGCATAGCTTTAAGTTATATGTTTGTGCGAGTGTGTGTGCGAGTGTGTGTGTCCGAGTGTGTGAGTGTGTGCGAGTGCGTGTGTTTGTGCTTAGCTTTAGTCACGTTCTGGCCAAAATCGTGGCATAAACTGCTGCCAAATGAAAAACAAAACGGTTTCGATGTTTTACAGGGTTTTTTTTTCTATTCACTTCATTTGCACACCTGAACCGACAATTCCACAATTCATATTCTTGCAACCAAAAGCCAAATCGGGTTTGCTAGTTATTTAGTACATATGCATATGCGCATACTTATCTATAGATATTTGTAACTTGTACATAATTGTAATTCGCAACTTGTTGAAGCGACAAGAACAATGAATTCACTAGTCATTTTTACAATGTGAAAAATGCGAGCTCGTTTCTAGTTCTACTTAGTTAGTTAGTTAGCTCGGCTAAATTAAATACATAATTTTAATTTACAATTAATTAAAAATACTGTTTTTAGGCAGCGGTTAAAACGCAAACTTTTACGATTTTTGTATATAGGAAATAAATGTACAACTTTTCTTTCCGGCATGAAATATTGTTGCTTGGAAAAGTTCCTTAAGATTTTACAGGCTGATAAATCACAGGCAGCGCTCGAATTGCCAGGAACTACATAAAGCACAAAACGCCAGACATAATTTAAGGCCACCACGTAAAGAAAGGCAATTCGTTTGTAATACCCCAGAAAAAGGGCTGAAAAGGGTATACAAGGTTGGAGCGAATGCGGCAGGCGAACCTTGCAGTTGATTTGACGAAGCCAGTTAATGCCATGTTTAAACCGATCCGATTGGAGAACAGCAATCCAATTCTTTAACCAGGATCGGAACCATAAGCAGGTTTAATTAAGAACAGCCGGAGCGAAGCTCAACATTTGTAAGAAATGGTTCGATACAAAATAAACTTCCATGTGCCATGACGAACCAAGGTTTAAACAAAACTCTGGTTCATGCATGTGTTAAACCAGGTTCACGAACCGAATCCGTAAGACGAAACATTGGTTCAAGCCGTGAGCCGAACCAAGGCGAAAATAGCTCAGTATAAGACTGTTTTGTTGTGGAACAAATTCGATTTAAGGATTTTAGAACTAGATGCGAACCATTTCGGCCTCTATATACAATACATATACAAATAAGTAAGATAGTCTCTAGCTAATAGACTCCTACAGAGCATCTGCTTGTCGAACATGCCCAGCTTCATGAGCCTTTGCTAGTTCTGCGGCAGCTTTTGATTGACGTAGTTTTGACTTTTGCACAATTCCGCACACTGCGCTGCGTTTGGCTTCAAACAGCACACACGACTCGTATGAGCCATAAATTATGTGTGTATACAACTGCCTGTGGTTGAGGAGGGGAGTGTGGGCGGGGGCAACAGCAATCGCTGCAATGCCTTTGTTTCGCACAAGAATAAAAAACAGGCACAAGAAATATGATGTTTTCACTGCTCAAAAGTCAAGAAAGAAAGCTGCAGGAAAAAATAAATAACAACAACAACAACAACAACAGACCTTGGCTGGCAATCGCAGTGGCTGGAGCAGAGGGGCGAGGAGGGGTGAGCAGAGGGGTGAGGAGCGGGGGCAGCAGCAGCAGCAGTTACTGCCAGCTTTTGGTAGCTATAACAAAAGCATTTTCATTTCATTTCATTTGGCAAAAATGTTTATACAAAACCAATTTTACAATTTTCGATTCAATTTCTGCAACTGACATTTCACTTAAACGAAAACCTTAAAGGCGCAATTCATTTGCCCCCCCCCCCCCCTTCCTCCCCTTCCCCCCGCCAGGCCCTCGACGACCCTTTAACTTTGTTGCTGTGCTGCGGAATGTAACAAAAAATAAATGAAATGTAGGCGCTGCCTGGGCGTGGCATGTGGCCGCGATAATGCCAAGGGTCAACCAATGTCCAGTTTTGTAATTACGCACACACACACACACACACGCACACACAGACGAGAGAGCCATGGTAAAGTTAAGTGTTGGTCGTTCATTTGCCGTGTTATTTGCCACATTTTGACGAGCACTTCGAAATGCATAAAATTGTCCAAATGCTCGACTAATAAGCGACGCCAGCTGCGCCGGGCGGCGGCACATGTTGCCGCTGTGCCACGCCCCCGCCAACGACCTCAAGGACAAGAAAAGTTAAAAATTCATTTATGGCGCATCGCCATCAAATCGAATAAAAACAATTGGCACATCAAGAAATCAGAGCGAATCCCGGCGAGATCTTCATCGAGGGTTGCCAGCCACGTAGCCAATGCGTGTCGAAATGGCCCAAAAACGTGCTTCCATATGTTGCAAGCGGAGAGGGGATGGGGATGGGGATGGGGATGGGGATGGGGATGGGGATGGTTTGCTCAAAAAGAAATGGCTGAAGTAAATAAAATGCCATCAAGAGGGGGATGTGTGTGTGTTGGTGTGTGTGTGTGTGTGTTGGGCAACTCCCTGCAGCTTTTGGCGCCAGCTGCTTGGCCACTTAGGCCGCCCTTGGTAAGCGTTGATGGAATTGCTTATGAATTATACAAGAATATTAAAACGTGCCCAGCCTGGCAGCTACAACAGAAACATCAGGCTCCAAGCAAGTCGTCTTTAGCTCTCATTATACCCTGTACGCAGAGTACGAAATGGAGTATTGTCATGTCTGTCTGTCCGATACACTAAACTTCGCACAGTTTGAAAGCGACTGCAGTCTGGGAGTCAGCAACAGAACTCGTTAGGTAGATGGCGCAGAGTATTGCGCAGTCGGTTATAGCCCACAAGCAACGTTCTCAGCTTGGTTTGTTTTTTTTTGGTTCTATTTGATTTCATCTTTGCGCGGAATATTTCAATTGCCAGCAGGCAAAAAGTTTGCTGTAAATACTTTATTGGAAAAGTATGTGCCAAATGGTTATTGGATGGGCACGGAGGACGGGACGGTGGATTGGGGGGCGGCGGAGGGCGGCGGGGATGGATACAAACAAATTGGGCGCTAAGTTGGCCGTTATTGGTTTTTATGTGCGTCGCCAGCTTGTGGCTGCGGGAGGGTAGGGCGAGAGGGGGGGGGGGGGGGGGGGTAGCTCTTACAAGGAGCATAATTTGATTTTTGTTTGTCCAAGTGCACACAGAAAAGTTGAGCTGACCTTCTTGATGTTTATGGCTTGATGATGATGGCATAATTGAGGTCGCATTCAAATAGGCCACAACATTCCATTCATTTTATGTTCAATATATATTTATTTTTACATTACGTTTGTATATTTACGGGCATATAATTTACAGGCAGCGATCATATTCTATGTACTATACGTATTAATTTAGGCACAAGCTATACACAAATACATTTAAATTAGCTAAAACTTAAGTTCAGGCTAAGCATTCAGTCGACCATTCACTCCATTCACTCACGATTCACGCATTAAATAAAACAAGTTTAAATTGTAACAGCCAAAAAGCAAATTCAAATTTAACGAAACTTGCACTTGGCATTCAACGTAGCTCACATCTCTAGGTTTGTGTACTTGCTATAAGCAAGCAGTGTACGTAACGAAAACTGAAACGGTTCGAGTTTCGTACAGCCTAGCTTGCCACAGTCGCAGTCATATTTAGGTTTGTGTACTCGCCAACCGGTTATTGTTTCGTCCAGCTCGGCTAAGCCAGCACAACAACCAAATGCGTTTGTCCGTTAAACATTTGAATATGCATCAGCGTCTGGAAAACTCAACATTTCTCAGTGATAGCGGGAAAACTGTGAAATGCTGTCCTCATTGGGCGGCGCCACCAGCAAAATGGGCTGCAAATTGAGGCCCGTTATGTGCGGGTTCGATTTGCGTGAGCCCGCCAGACTAATGGCATCCGTCAGATACGCATTGTTAATTTCACCTGCAAAAAGATGATGTTATAAAACAAATGTTAGAATGGTAAACAAACACACACACACTCACCTTTATAGAGCGAGTTCTGGTAAATGGGATCCGGCTGCAGGCGCACGTGTCGCGTGGCCAGAATGAAGGCCAATGTGGCAAGCACAACGCCATCCACGCAGCCGATGATGGCCAATGGATATGCCCAGCGAATGCTGCAGAGACCCAACTCAAATCGATTCGCCTCCGGACCACATATCTTGCGAAAATCATCTGAATTCCAGCCAAATGGAAACGCAGCACAGGCCACAATCATGCAGAGAGCTGAAAAAAGAAACAACAACAAGAAAAAACAAGACAATAGATTTAAAATACGTGACAAATGCTGATCGAAGCACAAGAATTCAAAGAGGGCAAAAACGAATCGAGTGGAATTTCGCAATAAGATTACATTTTGCCAGCAGCAAACGTTGAAACGTGCTCAAAGTAACAGCCAGATAGAATTTCGATATCATTTCTCAAGCCGACTTCCGTCGAAGTCAGCAATTGAAACTAGAAACTCCAAATTGAGAATTGGGCCCCACACACACACACACACACACACGCAAAACACACCTGATATTATTTGCATCCAGCCGCAAATGTGAAAGACACGCGTCGACTTCATGAACAGCAAACACACCAAAAAGAATATCGTCAGCAAGGCCAGCCCCACGGCGGCGATCATGAAGAATGTGGCCAACTGAAAGCAAGAAATAAGCAAATAGAAATGGCTTAGTATACCCTGTAATATAGAGTGCGTGTGACAGGCAGAAGAAAACGTATGCAAGCACCTAAGGCATTTATCTGATCAGCATCAAGAGTCGTATCGACTTAATCGTGTTCATCTATCTATATATATCACATCAAAATCCTTTAGGAATCGGACTACCCTATCATATATCTCTTTACTTTTCCTTTGAAGACTTCTTTATCTTATCAAATCGAACTACTATATCAGATGGCTTCTAATGGAATGAAATTTAGGTATAAAATTATATAAGTTATATGTATACAAAAGTATTTAATCTGTGGCGTGCCCAATATATACGTTCTTTTCTGTTAATCTTAACCAAGCATGGTTTTACTCCTACATACTACATACTTTTAACATATATACCACATATACCCTATTTTAACCTAGATACTTAATGTTAACATAGCAACTTGTGTCACAGCTATCATGTGTCTATCTTTTTAAGGGTATTTCATCTTCGGCGTGCTGGTTTTTCAATTAAAAGGACGCACCTGAAATGAAAACGTGGGCACTGCAAATATGTTCTCCCAGCGCCGACGGCAATTGTCGAAGATCTCATCGCGCTGGCACTGCTGCCAGAGGCCCAGGCGGCCGGCGCTGTCGCTATCCGGATCGCCAATCCATTCTGCAAATGCAATACATATATAATTATACATATATATGGGGTATATATAAAGAGCCTCACCTGGCGTGACAAATGCGACGATGCCAATGATCGCATAGCATATGGTGAATATGGCCCAGAGCACGCCAATTGCCTTGGAGTTGCGTATGTATTTGGAAGCGTATAGATGCGTCGTATCGACGTACTCGATTTTGGTGCCCATTATGTTTGCTTTTTCTTCTTCGCTTTATTTCAGCTATGAATTG